GGGGGGCAGCGTGCGGACCACCGCCACTCGGAGGCCAGGTGCTGCTGCGTTGGTGCCCCGTGGAGGGTGCCGGTGGGAAGCTCCGGGGGGGAGGGAGGGGACATGGGCTCAGGGCCGGTAGCTGGCCTAGGAATCTGCCCCTGCAATCACGCCGGGGGCTCCAGGGCGGCTTCGCAAACCTGCCCCTCGTTCAGGTGCCCGGCGGGCCGAATCCGGCCCCGAGCGCGCGAGGTCTGAGATTGACGGGCCGGATTGGCCGTGACACCCAGGCTGCGCCTCCCCGAGGATCCCCTCCCTGCTCACCCAGGCTGGCGTTAGGGTCGGGGGGTCTCTGGCTGCTCCCTGCTCAGGGGGAGCCCAAGGGGGCAGTGCGTGGGTCAGAGCAGTGGGCGAGGGGCGCAGAGGCTGGGCGGATGGGGGGCCCGTGGCTGCAGGGGGGGGCTAGGGGAGGAGGGGCCGCAGGGTGGGGCGGGGGTCTGGCTCCAGGCCGGAGCGAGAGAGAGAATGGAGTCAATCTCCTCTCCCCAGGCCTCAGCCAGTCCGGAGAGCTGAGGGGCCGGTGCGGCACGCGGGGGGGGGGAGGGCGCTTGGTGGGTGTCAGGGCAGAACACGGCCTCTGGGTCTCTTCCCCTCGCAGCCCGGCGATGCAGCCGCTTCTACAACATGCGGAACGAGAGCGGGCTGCTGCGGAAGATCTGCCAGGAGGAGGTCTGCAAATGCGCCGAAGGTAAAGCCATGCCCGCGCCCGGCTCCGTGGCGTCGCCTGCTCCTCTCACTGCCCGGCCCAGGGGCGACCCGCTCCTCACGACACAGCCACCCTGGGAAGGGGACGCTAGGGACGGGCCACAGCGACCGGCTCAGCATGACAGTCACCCGCCAGCGAGCGCTGGCCTGGCCACTTCCCCGCGGTTACCCGCTGCCCGGGCCCCGTGGCTCGTTACCCGCTGCCAGGCCCTGTGCCGGGCTCGTTACCCGCTGCCGGGTCCTGTATCGGGCTCGTTACCCGCTGCCGGGCCCTGTGCCGGGTTCGTTACCCGCTGCCCGGGCCCCGTGGCTCATTACCCGCTGCCGGGCCCTGTATCCGGCTCGTTACCCACTGCCAGGCCCTGTGCCGGGCTCATTACCCGCTGCCCAGGCCCCGTGCCGGGCTCGTTACCCGCTGCCCAGGCCCCGTGCATGGCAGAGAATTCCCTGGGGCTAACGCTCGCTCGTGACTAGGCCCTCGTCAGAGCAGTGCCTGGAAACGCACCGGCTCAGCCGCACACTGCGCCCAGGTCCCTACAGTGTCTGTTGGGCTTCACACCAAGCCCATGAGCCCCCGTGGGACCTGGGACGCTCCAACCATGTTCCTGTGAGCTACCGGCCAGGCCGGGACCTCCCCAGACATGCAGCCCGGCCAGCCTGTGCCTCTGACCTCTCCACTTTCCTTGCACTCAGACAATTGCCTTCAGATGACCGCTCCCCGCGGCCAGAGTGAGGACTATCTCTACGAAAAGGCCTGCGAGACGGGCGTGGACTACGGTGAGCCCCGGGGCGGCTCTGTGGGGAAGACAGGAGGGCTCGCGAGGGGGCTGGGAGCGCTCAGCGCTGCTCTGGCACCACTGAGGGCATTACCCGGCGGCACGTTTCCCAGGTGTCATGGACTCCCGGGACTCGGGCTCGCACACGGTCCTGTGCGGTCCCTGGGGGGAACCCCCTTCGGTGCGACAGCCCTTCTCGGGGGTCAAACAACTCCATCTCCTGGAGCCGCACCTCTCAGAGCCTTAGCACGTCTGTCTCTCGCCGTGGGCCCCCTCAGGGAGTCCCCTGTGTCTCGGAGTGTGGGGGACTCAGGGCCCTGTACCCCCGGCTCCCTGCGATTCACCGTGACTCTCAGCCAGCCAGTAAAGTGGAAGGTTTATTGGATAACAGGAACACAGTCTACAGCAGAGCTCGTAGGTACAACCAGGACCCCTCAATCAAGTCCTCTTGGGGGAGCGCAGGGAGCTTAGACCCCAACTTGGGGTTCCCTGCGTTGCACCACCCAGCCCAAAACTCTCCAGCAGCTCTCTCCCTCCTCCCCTCTGCTCCTCCTCTCCTTTGTGGTGTCACCTCTCAACCCCCCCCCCCCCCCGCCTCCTGTCTCAGGTTACAGATCAGGTACCTCAATGTAACTCCCAGGCTCCATTCCCAGGTCAAACCTGCCCTGCTCCCTGCTCCGTCACACCCTGCTCTGGACCCCCGGGACCTCCACCCCCCAAAGGGGACGATGCCCCCGCCCCCGCCCTGTTCTCTAGACCGGAGCGACTCTCAGCCAGCGTCACACAGGAAGGTTTATTGAGAGTTGAACACAGCACAGGAAACTCTCAGGGCCTCAGGCCTGGCCTCCCTCAGCCCAGCACATCTCAGTCCCTCTGCATCCAGGTGGGCTCTGCCTGCTCCCCCTCTCCAGCCCTGAGCCCCCCTGCTCCCAGCTGGGCATCTGAGATCCCCGGCCCCAGGCCCCGCCTCTGTCCATTGTCTTCTCTCTTACCTGCCTGGGCCTCCTCTCATCCGTCCTTTGTTCCCCTCTGGCTGGAACCGGCTGGGACTCCCAAGCTGGGGTGGGCCTCCTAGTGACCAGGTCACTGCTCGCTAGCGTCCCCCATCTCCAGGCAGCTGTCCCGGGTCCCACTCCTTCTCCCACCCCCTCGTTACACACGCAGCTCACAGGGAAACTGAGGCACACCCAGTGTTCATGCAAAACTCTTAGAAAATCCCCCAGTTCGTCACACCTGACCAGGCGCCGGCCAATGCCATCGAAAGGCAGCAATCCCGAACCAGCCAGTGGCATGCTGTGCCGTTAGCCTGTGGAACTCACTGCCACAGGATGGGATGGGGCCAAGGGCTCAGCGAGGGGCACAGGGTTACCAGGGGTTCAGTGGAGAGCAGGAGCAGGCAGGGCTAGTAGAGTTACTGCAAACAGAGCTTGGGAGGGGGAGAAAACCTCCTGCTTCCAGCTTAAACCAACCTCTGACTCCTTGGGGTCAGGACGAGACCTTCCTGGAGGCAGCTCGTCCTCCTGCCCTGGGAGTGCCATGCCTCTTCCTGGCGCAGCTGGTGCTGGGCCCGGGACACCAGGCCGGATGGGGCTCGGGTCAGAACCCATCTGCTGGCTCCCAGCCCTTGCGGTCTCCAACATCCCCCCCCACACACCTTCCTTCGGCCCCCTCGTAGCCCGGCTGAACATCCCCCCTGTGCCAGGCCCAGCTGGGGCGCGGCGCCTCCCAGGGCCCCTGCTCCTTCCCCGCTCAGCCCTGCGCCTCCTGAATCCGCCCCTCCCCGCGGCAGGGCGGGAGGCGGGGCCGGGGCCAGGGCCAGACCCTGGAGACGAGCGGCGGGTCCCTGGAGCGGGGGGGCGCTGGCTCCGCCGCTCGCCCCCTGGGACACGGGCTCACCGCTGGCTCCTCTCCTCTGCCTCAGTCTACAAGGTGCAGCTGGAGCAGCGGGAGCCGCACAACAGCACCGTCTATTACAGCATGAAGGTCCTGGACGTCATCAAGTCTGGTGAGCGCCGCGGGGACCGCGCTGCCGTCCCGGGCAGGCTGGGCTGCGAGCGGAGACCCCCGAGAGACCACGGCGGAGGGCACGGCCGGGGGTCTCCCCTCTGCCAGTGCTGGCCCCACGGCGGAGCTGGGGCCTGCGCTACAGGGAGCGGGGTGGGGGCTCAGCAGGGGGCGCTGCAGGGAGTGGGGCAGGTGGGGGCTCAGCAGGGGGCGCTGGGCTGCAGGGAGTGGGGCAGGTGGGGGCTCGGGCGAGGGGGCGCTGCAGGGAGTGGGGCAGGTGGGGGCTCAGCAGGGGGCGCTGCAGGGAGTGGGGCAGCTGGGGGCTCGGCAGGGGGCGCTGGGCTGCAGAGGGTGGTGGGGGCTCAGCGGGGGCGCGGTGGGGGCTCAGTATGGGTCACTCTCCCCCCAGGCAGTGCTGCTCCCAGTGCGGCGCTAGGGGGCGCTGTGCTGCTCAAACGTCTTTCAGATTCAAAGTCAAACTGTGGGGCCCTGGCCCCCGTGGAAACCTGCTGTGGGGCTTTGCAGGACTAGTGGGGTCCCCCTGCCTGGCCGCACCCCCCAGGGTAGATACACTCCAGCCCCCGACACTTCCCGGCAGTGTCAATGGGTTTCATTTCGCCAGTTCCTCCCCTGCCCTGCTGCGGTGGGGGGCTGGGCGCTGACGAGCAGCCCGGGCAGGGGCCCGGCCCCCATCTGTCCTGTCGGGAACTGGGGGGTCACTTGGGGGCACAGGCCCCTCAGGGATGCCAGAAGCTCTTGCCACTGTCCTGAGCGGTTTCCAGCCGGGAAGCGGATGCCCAGGGGGAAGGGGATGCCTTTGCCTTGCTGTGGGCAGTGCCCTGCCGGCAGAGAGGTGCCCCCCGTTAGCCTGACCCACGGTCCCTTCCCCCAGGCACAGACGCGGAGGCGAACGGGAAAGTGAGGAGGTTTGTCTCCCACGCCACCTGTGAGGGTGCGCTGGGCCTGCAGGAGCAGGGGCAGTACCTGGTCATGGGCCGGATGTGGGATCTCTGGCAGTCCAAAGACAGGTGAGTCCCCTCCCTGAGGCTGGCCAGGGGCTGTGCTGGGGGCTGCCTGTTCCCTGCCGTGCCAGCCCAAGCAGGAGGCCGCGTGGGGGCAGCGCCGGCTGGGGCAACCCTGGCCAGAGCCGAGGAGCCCCGAGGCAGCCGTAAGGGGCTGATGCGCTGGGGGCGACTGGCTGCACGAAGCCGTGGGGCCTGGAGCTCGGCTCTGGAGGGGCCCTGGCTCCACGTGCTGGAGCCCCAGCACGTACCCAGCTCCGCGCCCCTGGGGGTCCCGTGCTTCCTGTGGGGCTGATGGGGAGCTGAGCGCTCTGCCCGCTCCATGCTGTGCCTGGCTTACCCTGTGCCCTCGGCCAGACCAGGCTCAAAGCAGCCCCTGCCCCCGGCCGAGGCTCCCATATCTCTCAGCTGGTCCGTGCCCGGCTAGGGGGGCACCCGGCCAGGGCCGGGACGTATGGGCCAGTTCCCGTGTTCTGCGCCCCCGGCACTGACAGGCGCCTTCTCCCTTCCTTGTAACCAGCTACACCTACGTGCTGGGCAAGGCAAGCTTCATCATGCCCTGGCTGAGACCGGAGGAAGCCGGAACCGACAGGAGAACAAAAACGTTTCTGCAAACTCTGGACAACTTCGCCCACTTTATGGGCTGTGACACTTAGATCCTGCAGGACACCCCCCATCCCCATCCCCATTGCCCCTGCAGAACCCCCCCATCCTCCATCACCATGGTGCCCCCCCCGACTCTCCTCCCCTGTGGGTTGCAGGCGGGAAGCCTGGACCCGCTGCTGCAATGTGCTCGCTCTGAGAAAACAGAATAAATGCTCGACTCGCCAGCCACCAGGCTCCCTCGTGCTGCGTCCCCCCTGCAAGCAGCCCCCACGCCGTCACACTGAGCCCTCGGGGTTCCCAAACAGCCGCCCCCATCCGGCCCCTGCTGAAGGCAACAGCCAAACAGCTGCTGGCTTCGGGGGCCCAGCCAGGTGCAACACGTCCAGCGCCCTAGAACCCCCTGTAAGGATGCGGTTCTGGCGGGACCCAACTGAGAGCGCCAATTCAGGACAAATCGCTTAAAACAGGGCAGTCCACCTCTAAGGCACCAAACCAGCCAGACTAAGAGGACTTTGGTCTCACCCCACTGGCTAACCACAAGTCACACCAGCAATTCCCTTAGACACTCCAGTTTCCCAGTATCACCACCAGTACCACTCGTTATGAGAACGAATGGTTATGAAAACCAATACCCCAATAAAAGAAAAAAGGTT